TTGTAAAAAATTTAACCAAAAACCCAGAGCCCCAGGTACAGAGAACTTCATTGTTGTTAGTGAATGTCAGGTGCACACGTGACTTGGTCATGCTTTCCATTGGCCAACTCTTGGAAAATCAGTGTTCCCATGTCAGTGCTACAACTAACACCTAGTGGAACTGACAGTCCTAATAATTCAGTCCTGAAGCCCTTTTTGTCACTTTAGTTTCAACTTGACAATCCGTCACAATAACCAATATACTACAAGACTGAACCAGTAATAACAGTTAATTTGGTTTTTAATTTTTTGATCATCAACAACACTTTCACTCATTGAGAGGGTCAGCATTTCTGTTGCAAAGGGATTTACTCCAGAAGATTTTTGGATTAAGCAGCAAGTGTGAGGAATGGCATGCTTATGATTTGTTGCATAGTCATGTATAGGAGGAACCGATGTGCGCCTCATCCCTGTGTTTCATTTTATTAGTTTTGAAACTAAATTTCACATTGAGACCATGGTTGCATAGTATCTTGATTCATGGTATCGTTGTTATCACGGTTGAATAACAAATTTTTACTATTAAAGTCCAGTTTTTTGTACTTGAGATTCCAGTGTTTTATTATATTCTGATCATTTAACCAGGATGTACTTATTTCATGCTATGATGAGAAATGGAAGACTGTAGTGGACAAAAACATGTTCCTCTCTGTGGAGACAGAAGTCTGCATGTATAACTGATTAGTCTCGCAGAACAGGAAAACAAAACAAAACAAACAGAAAAAACACAAGTAAAAGTGACTGCTATCAGTAGCCACCCAAGAATGAATGTTGCCAATCCGAGGCAATTATCTTCTTCAGCTCAACAGCTTGACTCCCAGTGTAAAAGAATTCCCAATGTGGCCAATCTGTCAATGAGAGGGAATACTGAACTCCTCAACAATCCTACTTGCATAGCAACCACGGTAGAGCATTCAGCGATATGACGCTCCTTTCCAAAGTCTGCGTGGAAAAGCGAAGGGTAGGAAATGTAAATAGATGCAAGCCTGAGGGAATTCATGGAGGCACAACCCACGTAACGAACTGTCAATTTAATATTGTGTGGGAGAAAAAGGATAGAGAAGACTGTTTTCCATTTCTGCTCATTAATATTCACAAGAAAGTGGCATATGGATATTTATTGCCCATTCCAAAAAGTGGGCAATAATGTTTTTGCCTGCGTCCACGTATGTGTGTTTGTGTGTGTGCACTTGTCCATCTGGCTGTGAGCCAAACATCTCATGAACAGCTAAATTTATTTAAATATGTCTATCAGAAAGTCATCATTGCATCTACAACTGATTAGGTTTTGAAGTGAGCTTGATTCAAGATGACTGCCGCTGCTAATCGACCTCAACTAACAAAAAAATGGTTACAACTCTGTTAATTTTATAGACACTGAGTTAAAATTCTGTGTTGAGGGGGTTGAGAGCAATCCCCAACACCTAAGCAGATTGCACATAACATTAAAATATCACATATTATCACAGAAAATTCTAATAACAGTAATGTAACATTATTTTTAGATTTAACCAAACTGAGTAAAACTTCATCTTTTTTTTTCCCCCTTCAGTATAATGTAATTTTAAATATCACATCAAAGTGCATGCTCAATAATACAGGTAAAGAATTTCAACAATGTTCAGTCAGGTCATCTGGACCTGGTAATCTGGTAATTTTAAATATTTGCACAAAAGGCACTGGGCAATATGTTTTCCTGTAAGAAGTGCTAGACCTTAAATGTGCATCTGTTACTGATAGGTAGAGTGATTTTTTGATGCTGGGTATGTTTTTTGGATATTGGGTGTGTAGTCAATCAGTTTCATACATCAGCAGTGTTTTTCTGAAATGCTGACAATTTTTGTGTAATGTAGCAATACCAATAAAGAAGGGTGATAACTCAGTAGAAATAAGTTAAGTTGGCTTCTTGGGGTTATGAATAAGGTTCTACCTCAAGTTGAAGAGCTCAAGTATCTCTGGGTTTTGTTAATGATTGAGGGAAGAATGGTGCGCGAGATCAACAGATGCATTGCTGCAGCCTCTGCAGTATTGCGGACTCTGTGCCGGTCTGTTGTGGTGAAGTGGGAGCTGAATTGCAAAGCGAAGCTCTCTGTTTACCTGTCAGTCTATGTTTCTACCCTGACCCATGGTCACAAGCTCTGGGTAGTGACTGAAAGAACAATATCGGGAATACAAGCTGTCAAAATGAGTTTCTGCAGGGTCGCTGGACTCTCCATTAGAGATAGGGTGGGAAGTTCCGTTGTTCAGGAGTGACTCGAAGTAGAGCCGCTGTTCCTCCAAATTTAAGAGGAGTCAGTTGAAGCGGTTCAGGCATCTGGATGCCTCCAATGGAGGACTGGGAGGAGACCCTGTGAAAGACCTAGGACATGCTGGGGAAATATTCTCTCGGTTGGCCTGGGAACGCTTTGGAATCCTCCCAGAAAAACTGGAAGAGGTTGCTGTGGAAAGAGACATCTAGGCCTCCCTGCTCAAACTCCCCGCACGACCCAACTCTAGAACAAGATAATGAATGGATGAAATAACTTTTCTCTTTTAATATGCACTTAAAATCTTGCGACCCGTCCAGGGTGTTCTGCGCCCCTCGCACAGTGATTGCTGGACATGGGCACCGACGAACCCCGTGACCCAAAATGGAAGAAGCGGGTAAAACATAATGGATGGATGGATGAATATGCACTTAAAATGTTCACTTACACACCATGCGAACACAGAAAGACAAACTACACATTTAGCTCTTGGGAAATATATATCTCAAACCTTGGCCAACAACTATTTCTTTAAACTTCAACAATTTCTATAAAATTTCTGATGCTTCTACAGAGACAGGCTACAGTGAGTCAATGCACCGTGACACTAATTAGACGGGTAAATAATGGCATGTCTGGCTAGAAGCACTCCCACCCCGACTTCAACACCTCACTGATCTCCTCAGGGCTGGTCTTATCAAAGCAGCTTTTCTTCTTGGCCTGAAATTTAGGATCAAGGGGTAGCACTAACTCATCAATGCCCACATCTTTCCCTGCAGCAATGGATAAAGTGCTCAATAACCAGGACACAATATTACCTCCCTGTCAGATTCAGAGACTCTGGTAAATAAAAAAAGGAATGGACAGCAAATCTTGTCTTGTAGACAGTAATTTTCTTGACCAGTTTGGAAATATCACAGTGCAGAGCAAATGTGACGCCATACCTATCAACACGTTGAAGACCTCAGATTGCACCTCTCAAAGTGTGACAATGAGTAATCTTTTTTTTTTCTAAACAGAAAAACCAACTCTGTCTCTGACTGCTAGACACACTGCGTACAATTGTGAGTATGTCCAATGGCATTACTACTTGTGTTTGTAAAGACTAGACCTCACTCAGAGGTCAGTGAGCTGCTGAAGGAAGGAGTTGCAGAATCCGAAGAGGAGTTTTCAAGTTTAAAGGAAAATGTTTTTTTATGTAGTTCTGCAGAAAGGTTATCAACAATTGTCATCTTACCTTTGATAGAGCTCTTTGAGCAACCTCAGTTTGCAGAAATAGAGTTTAATTCTGACCAGACTGAAAGAGTGGGGACAGAACAAAATGAATTTTTACCATCTTGAAGTAGCTCTAATCTCAGAAGTGTCATTGTGACTCATGCAAGCACCATCTTTTAAACTTTTACATCGCTGTCAGTTTCACATTACTGTTAGGACTTTAGCACTTCCAGGTACCAATTCAGATCCTTTTCCAGCTGTTTTGTCTGTTGTTTATATCCTCATCAGCTGCTTAAGATCAACTCAAAACATCCTCCAATGCCTGAATGTGCCATCGCCTCAGTGATCACAGTGGAATCACTCTAATGTTAATTTGTGATTTGAGACCCTTGGTAGCTTTATGTACTTACCTGTACAATAATTTTTCTAGTGCATTTTTTCCTTCATGGGTAAAGATGGCCACATACACATTAATTTTTTTAGTTGCTCCATGGTCTCCGTTACCATGGATCTCCTTTGTTTATGTACCCTATCACTGCTGATCAATCCCTGCAAAAAACAGTACTTACCTGGTACTTACCTGCCTGCCCACTTTCCAGCGTGACCTTCTCCTCGCCTCCTTGGACACAAGGACCCTTGTTTCACTTCCTCTCAACTAGGAGAAATAGAAAAACCAAGTATGGCAGTCCGAAATAATTTATTCTTATTATTCCAAATTCCAAATACGATCCCAAATTTTATACTTACCTTTTATTACAGTGATGATGCTTTAAGACCATCTTTGTCTCTTAAAGTCTGTATCCTTTGTACTATTATTATACACATATCCTAAACTTTTCTGAAGTGTCAGTTCTAGAGTCAGCACAATGAGTCATTATGTTTTTTCTATATTATGTCAGAACAAATGGGCCAAAGACTAGACTCGGTTGACCTGGGGAACCAGATATTACTCGGTTATTTCTGCATAAATGTTAGGATATTTCTTCTGAAAGTGCTCCAGGCTTTAATGCAAGCGTTCCAGCAAGCTGCTACACCCACTAGATGTGGTTGCAAGTAACCATAAACAGCTACGTAAATAACAATAATGCAATGTGAAAAGGACAGCATTGTGAAGGTTGATTAATATCGTTTGCATAAACCGCTACATTTGAGATTGGATTTGTTTTAAAAAGGCAGCAGTCCACGATGGACCTGTCCTCACTTGGTGGGACCATGAGTTTGTCAATCTGATCAGATTTAAACTGTTTGTCCAAGTGAGGTCATTCAAAGTGCTATCTATAACATATGTATTGTTTATAGCATTTCCATAGAACCCAACTTCAAGAAATCTGGAATATCACTTTAAATATCTTTCAGCAGCAGAAGAGTTATCGGTGCAGAAAATAGAAATATAATTAGACTCCTGATAGCTCACAGAGCATTCGACATTAACATTAAAGCATTTACAGGCATGAATCAGCTTAAGGAAATGGCGAGAGGGATAATTTCATCTTCTCCTACCCATGCAGTTCCTTCACAGAAACCGAGACTTTGACTTCATGTCCAAGCACATGGAGAGCAGTGAGAATGTCGGCCCATTGCACCATCTCCCCCAGAGGACCCCCCTTCAGCACCTTGGGACTGAACACATCTCCAGACTCCTCCGTCAGGAAACCGACATGGACTAGAATCTAAATTCAGAGAAAGAAAAATAAAATAAAATAAACACTCAACTTCTTGTTTCGTCAATGTAGCATAAACGTCTTTGTTAAAATGCTGCATCTTTATTAAGATGCAAGCAAAACAGGCCGTTCTCACACTTTTTATTTTCTAATTTACATTTCAAATGATGTAGAAGGGTTCAGATATTTAACAAAAACTGAGTATGAAAACAAACAAAAAAAAAAGGTTGATTGACAGCTTTTTCACACCAACTCCAGGAAAACACAATTAGTGCACAAATCTGAAATAACAATTGACCCGTGCAGTGCTAATTGATATGCAGAAGAATATGAGCGGTTTAATTGTTGATGGGGAAAGATATAATTCCCAGGCTGTTAAATATTTAATGAAAGATTAGATTTCTCAACAGATGGAGGCACTTCTTTTTTTAACTCCTGCATTACATTTGTCTTTGAGACCCGCCTCCAAAAGCCGTTTTTAGACATCTAACACAACATGTACTGACTAAAGATTATGCATGAGTTATTCAAACACATCTTGCTTTTGAAGTGTGTCTAGTTTCTGTTCGTAAATTAGGTAAGCATAAAAAAATTAAAAAAAACAACACTGCATTGTTCCACAATGGAAAATAAATGTTTTGTAAGCAGAAATTCATTAACACATGAGCTGTTATTCACTGCCATAACAAAGAAAGATGCAGACTTTAATTATACTAATGGAATAAGATATTTAAGATGTTAGATACACTCTTACTATTCTCATAGGATGACATAATAACAGTGGTGGGATGTACCAAAGTACAAGTACTTTGTTACTGTACTTAAGTAAATTTTTCATGTATCTGTACTTTACTTAAGTAGGGCTAAACGCGGGGTACTTTCGACTTTTAGTACTACATTTTACATTAAGTATCTGCACTTTCTACTACACTGCATTTCTATAATGCGTTGCGTTACAAGTTACAGTCACGTTGCAGATTTTTATTTGTTGGTTAATTTGAATGTAACCACTGGTGAGAAGGGAGTTGTTCCATTGAATCACTGCAAAGTGGGCAGGTAACGTTAGACCCACCGTCAAGAAGAGCTGGGCCAATGACATATATTCTAGTATATATGTCATTGAGCAAGGCGCACCCACAGCACCACTAACACACCCAAAATGGATTTCACCGAGGAGAATTAGCCAGAAGATACACACCACCCATGTCCTTATTGAAAGATTATTGAAAGACTATTGAAAGACTATTGAAAGACTATTCAGTACAGCAGGACAGATTCTCTCTCCCAAAAGAGCCAGACTGTACTCAAAAAACGTTGAAACCAACTTCTTCTGAACTTGAACAATAAATTCTTGCTGCGACATTAAAATGTATCAGTTCATGATGTTAGGACAGGAGACAAGAGATGTCTCCAAATGGCTCGACACTCGGGTCCACGTTTTGAAAATGGTGTCAGGAAGTTAAAATATTGTTCACTATTGACCCATTACAAGGTTGAATAGAGTATTTTAACTAGAGTTGATGACAAACTGGAGTTGAAATGATCAGTGCCTGGTCCTTTGTTAGTCGTGTCTAATGCTCCTTTTTTCAGGCTGACAACTTTTACTTAAATGTGTTTACTGCAGTTAAAATGACAGTTTTGATTTGTGTTAAATAAAAGCTTTCAAAAGGTATAATCATTCCTCTTTCTTATTTTGCTTAATGACATTTAACTCTGCAGGTCATCCCTGAAATTCTGACGCACAGAACCACAAGTCCAAGTGTGAACTGTGTCACAGGGAAAACACAATAAAAACATGTATTATCTGCAGCATTGTTCATTAAAATGGCTCAACACTATTAATGTATTACAGAAAACATACATATGGTAGGCACACAATGATATTGTAGACGTAAAAACGTTAATGTGGTACTTCTTCTTTTACTAGAGTACATTTTTGTCTGTTTATTTGTACTTTTACTTAAGTACAGTGTTTGAGTAGTTTCTCCACCACTGCATAATAATCTGCAGGATTATAATAATAGATTATAATAGATAGATCTGCAGGATTATTATGGTTTATTCTAATTAGATAAACGTGGTTGTGCATACGAGGTAAGTTGCGGTCCAATTAGGTCTGGAGGGTAAGTTTTGAGGGTTGGAAACATAGAATATTCACGTCAGACCCAAAAGGAAAAAACAGCATGGGTATTGGAGACAAAGCAGATAAAACATATCACATGCAAGAAGCTGCATTATTAGCAACAGACCTACACCATGCAGCACTTTTGTGTACTGAAGTTACACTTACAGTTGTAAAGGTGCTATTTAATGTGCGGTGGTTCGTCACTTAATTAGCCTGCAAACTGATATACATGCTGCGTTTATGAGTGTGAACGTGTTGTTTACTTATCACCCTAAAACTGAGAAGTGAGGTCAAACATGCACTTTGGGAGTTCCACAAAAGTCAGTTTTGGGACCCTTGTTCATCAGCTTGTACATGTTACACTGATGTGTGATAATGTTAAAGTTTTACAGTATACAGATGACACAGTCATCTACACTCAAGTGAAAAATGTTGACAAGTTATATTACTGAATATGTTGGTCAAGGGTTCAGTCTAGAAGTACTTTTCATGCCTCACAGAGATTGTCGAAAAGACTGTAACAATTTATTGAAGAAAGTATAACTGAATTTATTTTGGTATTATTGGAACCACTTCAGAAAGTAGTCACTGAACGTCCATCTATAACTCAAGAACTTTGAGAGTGAACACAGTTTGAAATGACCACCACAGCTAATCACAAAAAATGTCTTTAATTTCCTCATGTTATAGATATTGAGCAAAAACTGTGTGTGCTATTAGCTATTAGTAATCTGCAACACATACTTTGAGTACTAACAAATAACAAACTGTCTTTGGCATTAACTGTTAGAGTGGTAAACAATATTTGTTGCTTCAAGTAATGTTAGTTTCATAATTTCAAATATTTCTATTTGTAAAAATAAAAATAGAGAATCATCAATTTACAAGAAATTAAAGAAAGTGAGATTTTAAATTTGCATTAAAAATACATTATAAAGAAAATGAAGTCAATGACATGTCCTGATACATGCTCACTGGATTATTTTATAGAAATTATAAATTCAATCAATGAGGACGAATCAATAATTTCTGAGTTTGTCATGCAATATCATTTATTTTGTGGGGTTATTGTGATCACTTTAATATAACTTGATTAAAGAAATCCAAAGAAGAATAACACAATTAGAGCAGTTCCTTTATCATCTTGGACAGAAATAAAAAACATATGTGAGGCTCCAGCTGATAGAATATGACCATCATATCAATGATGACTTATGACTAACCCAAGCCATACAAATAAAGAAGAAAGCATGACGTGATTATGGGCTGTCTGGTGAAATACTCCAAGCTCAGAGTGTGCTCACAGCAGAGCGATACATCAAACTGATGAACAGAGGCAGGCTGAGTTAGAGATGTTCTGTGAAACATGTCTCTTCAACAGAAATCACTCCATTTCTGTTTCCAAACAACACTCAGAGTGATGGAGGCCGCATCTTCAGGGCCGAGCTAATGGACAGTAACCGCTGCTGTCAAACACACCATTACAGCAAACAACGCTGTCTCCATCAGCAGGGGGCAAGCAGACATTTAGAAAACTGATATTAACTGAAGGAATTTGGATTTATTCAAATAAAATAAAACATACACAGACTGATCTGAAACAATCAGCCTGTTGACAAGCACCAAAACTCTCAGAATGAATCTCTTTCATTTATCACTAAGAATTTGACCATTAAACTTCTAACTGGATATACAAAAATATCAAGAGTTTTTTTTTTTTTTTTTTCATTTAGGTTAAAACGTGTTTGAAGATCTGATTGTTAGCAAAATATCATGAATCGGTGGGTGGATTTTAATGAACCTGTCAGAAAGTACCCACAGGGTGTACATGTAGAACTGATTAACTTTTGGAGTCAACCCAATTAAACATGGCTGCCACAGCCAACTGACATCAGGAAACACAAAAATGGCTATAACGCTGATGATATGTTGAGCTAAAATGTGGTAGTAGCGGAGCATCATTCTCAGCGCATACTCTTTGCGCCAACAGAAGATCTTTATTTAATATCTCAGCATGCAAGGCGGCGGATGATGGAAATGCTTGTTTTTATGAAATGTATGTAAAGGATTAGGTTTAGTGCCTCATAAATGTAAAAAACAGACAGAAATGGTCAAATTTCTGCCTCTCCTGCCAAATTTTTCTGTTTTCATGCTCTGTTTTTGTTCTGCTCATGTTCAAGCTCTGCTCCTGTCACCCTGCACCATGCCCACTTTGCTCCACCACAGTAATCAGCCTTCATCTAATGCACCTGTTCTTTTCCCTATTTAAACCCCAAGCATTCACTCCTTCGTTGCCAGATTATCAAACTCATTTTGGTAGTTGATGTCCAGCGGCCATGTCATGGTCTCGGCTGCCTGTCCTGTTTTGACCCCACGCCTGTCTCCTGGATTCCTCGCCTTGTCTACCCCTTGTATGATTTTGATTCTGCTCTCTGACCATGGTACCGACTCCTCTTGTGATTATTACAACTAACACAGATCACATTTTGGATGTGGCTTTGGATTTCTGCTCAATGGTTCTTGACCCCTGCCTGCACTACTAGACTTTGCCCCCTGGATGATCCTGAAAACTACAATCTGCATAATCCTCTCTCTCACAGCCTATGACATCAGCCTTAACAACTCTCTGAAGGAGTCCCTCCCTGACTGTGAAGGTTAGTGACTGCCACAATAAACCTCTGAACTTTCATAACAAAGCCACATTTACAAACCTCCCTGTCTCTACAGATTGGACCCGCTCTTAAACCCAGACCTCTAGCAGCAGAAATATTACAATAAATCATTTAAACCATTCTTGTTGTCCGGTGTCGCGCATGAATCCAAAAACCCAACCTTGTCAGAAATAATATGTGTTTATTTCTTGGAAGATCTGAAAAGGCTTACTCTCTGAGCACTCCGAACAGTACAGTGTTTTTATTATATTACTGCCATAAATCGTTGGAATATTGTATACTCAATTTTGTAAATGTCCAAGGTTTTTAAAATTACTTTGTGTACTAAACTCTTTTCTTATGTATAAAATACCTCAAACAACTTTCCCTCCAAATCCTTACTTAGTGTGTGTGTGTGTATTTTGTAAAAGTTCAAATACATGCACAAGGACCACTCAAATGGCACAACCTTATTCATGAAATGGGTGTTCCTGCAGGCAAAACTCCTTTCAAAACTCTAAGGAAAATGTCTGTAAATGCCAGAAATGAAATGAACTAAAGCCAATGAATGTTTGCAGGAGCTTTGAGGCTGTCATTATAAACTCAGGCCTTCAACCCCGCATGATGTGATTCACAGCAGCCAGACAGAGATAAAAGCTGAAAAATCTTGGGCCAACCAAATGTCACATATGCTCTGGTAACTTAGTAGTCCAGCTTGTGGGCTTTTAAAAACTATATTGGCTTCTTAAAGTTGTTTGAGCCAAAGAATATCACAAGTTTTTCTTTTTCCCAATTCTTTCCAGGCTTGGCAGATGACTTTGTCAAATTATGAGAGACAGAAAAAACTGAATGGAAAAATCTACCGAGACTCAGAAAAAGTCCTCATGGACAATACATGTGGAGAACAACCTTTTTAAAAGAATAAACCACACTTTGATCCTTTCGCGTGTGCAGAAATGTGTCTGGGTGAGAACGCTTCACGTATTCACCCTCTTTTGCTCTCTCCAGCGGCTGCGGAGTTTGTCATCCAGCCGTCGAGCAGCGGAGGCCCACTGTGCTGCCAGCCTGCGCATTCGCCTCTTCATGAAGCTCAAAGACTCCTTCCCGGTGCCCACCTGCTCCAGCAGAGTCCCAATGTCAGACTGGAACACAGCCTGCATGACAGGAGCAATGATATTATTAATAAAATCACGGCAACAGAAGCATGCAATAAATGCAGAATAATACTGAAATAATTTGTAAGCTGAGTTCAAATTGAGGAGAGACTTTGAGTAAAAAAATTAACACCAGATTTTAAATTGGGCCTGAAGCAGAACAAGAGGGATAATAAAAGATTAAACTAAACTGACATTTAAGGTTTGTTCTCTATGAGTGAACTATATACTTTTTTTATTTTTTTATTAAGGGGTATTTATAACAGCCTGCCATCTTGGGTTATGTATTCATACCTCGAGGCAAAGCTTTTTCAACTGGCTGCCTGAGGAAATCCTGTAGTCTTTGCATTACAACCCATTAAATGTGAAAAATATTGAATAAAGAGAAAAACATCATGTCCACATCTGGAAAACCCACCCTGACTAACAAAATAAGGACATTTTTTTCACCAAAATGCACAGCCGTTCTGCTCTCTGGGAATGCAGATGTAACATTGCTTCCAACAGAAACAACTTATGTTCAGCACAGCAGGATGTGAAGCATGTAAGCCTTGGGATTCGTTTCTGTGACGCTCAGTCAGAGTCGAAGGCAGAGCTGTATGAAGAACCAATTTCAGCGTCCATCACACAAGCTGGACTTTAGTATGAAATAAAACCTGGAAGGACGAGGTTAAAGCAAATGACAATGCTGAGTTTTGAAGTTGAGTTCTGTGGAAAGATTATAAACACATAATATATTACCACATGTACTTTGTAATGTATTACCTGTTGTAGATCATTTGTTTAATGGCCTTCATTTGGAGAAAAAAAATAGCTTAATTGTCACCAAGCTAATGATCAGTTAGAGCAAAACCAAGGTGGATTGATCTATCTTTCATAACGCCTATCAATGGAGGTATATAGGTATATACACTATATTGCGAAAAGTATTCGATCACTCATCCAAATTATTGGAATCAGGTGTTCCAATCACTTTCATGGCCACCGGTGTATAAAATGAAGCACCTTGGCATGCAGACTGTTTTTACAAACATTTGTGAAAGAATGGGTCGCTCTCGGGAGCTCAGTGAATTCCAGCGTGGAACTGATAGGATGCCACCTATGCAACAAATCCAGTCGTGAAATTTCCTCACTCCTAAATATTCCACAGTCAACAGTCAGCTGTATTATAAGAAAATGGAAGAGTTTGGGAATGACAGCAACTCAGCCTTGAAGTGGTAGGCCACGTAAACTTACGGAGCAAGTTCAGCGGATGCTGAAGCGCATAGTGCAAAGAGGTCGCCAACTTTCTGCAGTCAATCACTACAGACCTCCAAACTTCATGTGGCCTTCAGATTAGCTCAAGAACTGTGCGCAGAGAGCTTCATGGAATGAGTTTCCATGGTCGAGCAGCTGCATCCAAGCCATACATCACCAAGTGCAATGCAAAGCGTTGGACGCAGTGGTGTAAAGCACACCACCACTGAACTCTAGAGGAGAGGAGGCGTGTTCTCTGGAGCAACAAATTGCGCTTCTCCATCTGGCAATCTGATGGACGAGTCTGGGTTTGGCGGTTGCCAGGAGAACGATACTTGTCTGACTGCATTGTGCCAAGTGTAAAGTTTGGTGGAGGAGGGATAAAGGTATGGGGTTGTTTTTCAGGAGCTGGGCTTGGCCCTTTAGTTCCAGTGAAAGGAACTCTGACTGATTCAGCATACCAAGACATGTTGGACAATTCCATGCTCCCAACTTTGTGGGAACAGTTTGGAGCTGGCCCCTTCCTCTTCCAACATGACCATGCACCAGTGCACAAAGCAAGGTCCATAAAGACAAGGATGGCAGAGTCTGGTGTGAATGAACTTGACTGGCCTGCACAGAGTCCTGACTTCAACCTGATAGAACACCTTTGCAATGAATTAGAGCGGAGACTGAGAGCCAGGCCTTCTCGTCCAACATCAGTATGTGACCTCACAAATGCGCTTCTGGAAGAATGGTCCAAAATCTCAATAAACACACTCCTAAACCTTGTGGACAGCCTTCCCAGAAGTGTTGAAGCTGTTCTAGCTGCAAAGGGTGGACCAACATCATATTGAACCCTATGGATTAGGAATGGGATGTCACTTAAGCTCATATGTGAGTCAAGGCAGGTGAGCGAATAGTTTTTGGCAACCCAATGTATTTCCATATAGGTGTCGCATCAATTATAGGTGAAGGGGATGTGTTCCCCTCACATTTAAAAAATATTCATTAGGACCCCCCCACATTTACCATGAAATATTAGTTCATCCAGCGCTGTTTCTATTTCTTCATGAACAAATCCATTCCACTTGATTATTAGGAGACTACTCAAAGCACTAAAAGTCCATTCCAGGTTTTCCTGGTTACCTACAACAACTCACCACACCTCATGCATATCCTGATGCATGCTCAATACTCCAGGTAGAAAAATCCAAAAAAGTTCAATCTGGTCCTCTGGACATTCAGAAAAACAATAAACAACCTCATGCAGTGTTTCCTCTAGGTCACTTGGCTTAGCAGGGTGCTCATCTCTTCGGTGGTTTTGTTGTCGATGGAGCAGGGGGAGGAGGGGTAGACACCTCTGTGTTGCATGCTAGCTTAGCGCTACATTAGTGCCAGCAGTTGTTTATTGGGCAGGGGGTTTAGGATACGTAAGCGAAGCAGAACATGCTCTATTTACACAAGGAGAGCTGTTGGTCAGGCTACTTCTTGTTGCTCTCTAACATAGTTATAGAATCAAGTGTTTACATATACCCTGTATAGGTAAACATAGATGTTTAACAACCTGTTAAAATACACCAGAATGCAGGAAATTATCTACTATATTCAAAATTTTCTGCGGGAGGACCCCCAGAACACCACCCCCCGCCCCCCCACCAGTGTGTCCCCTCCCCATTACAAATGCTTCTGGCGCCAATGCCATGTGAAGACTTATTTTTATATCAATCTTTACATCACTGCTAATTTTATGTCATCAAGCAGTTATTATAGCAGAAATATTACGAAGTTTCTGTTCTGGAAGCGCTACAGCTGGCAGGACTCAATGAAAATGACTGAAATAGCATTTTCTATGAAAACAGAGTGAATGATAAAGTTGATAAAGTTTTTAATTGAAAAATGAGCTTAAAGCTAAAAGTAGCATGCCATGTATTTCATGAAAGGTGATAATATAAATTATTTTACAAAAGCTAAAAGAAGCTAAATGCTAACTAAAAGTAGCCAAACTTTATAAATGCTAAATGTAGCAAAAGGCTAAATGCTAAAAGTAGTAACAGACTAAAATAAAGAATGTCTGCTGATGCAGACTTCAAAGAGAACAACATTTCTGGAAGAATTAAAGCACTCTAAATATAAGTATAAGGGAAATTATTTTGTAAATAAAGTTAAACAATTTGAACGTATTCAAGTTACAATAGGTCATAGAACTCATCTCCTGGAAGAGCTTTTGATTTCCTCATTTTTTTAATTTACTTTCCAATTTTGTACATGGCAGAGAATAACCTATGTGCTATTTATACACTTAGAGACAACTGACATGTCATTTGATTAAAGTTATTTGTAGTGTTTTCACCAGATTACCTTAGAAAGTACTACCTTTTGCTCCCAGATTGCACAAAACCAAACTAATGTCCTCTAGCAGTGCAACAAGATCCCTTGTAAAAAAGGTTCAACATTTCTTATAAAAAGTGTTTTAATTTGTATATTCCACACATTTACCAAATGTGTTTGCATTAGAGGGCTCATGTTTTCAGTCTAAATGACACTCTCACTCTGTTCACGATTTTTAGTCATCTCTGTTATTGTGAACGTGAAGCCAATTACAAGTGCTACCTGTTTCTTGGGGAGAGGCTTCAAGGTAGGCGTAGCAGTCTGGTTCCTCCAGACCAGTGGGGGGCAGAACCACTCCACCTCACTCAGGTAGACAAGGAAGGAGCAGTCAGAGCCGTCAACGCCGTAAAACGCGTAGCAGGGGTCAGAGGTCCAGCGAGATCGCATCCACTAGAAAAGCAAGAATCTCAATTTTGGCTCAGAGATGTAAATTTCAGAGGAAGTATCTCATTGGGCTGCAAACTGTTGGAGTTTGTGAGGGAGTTTCTTGGGTTCTTTCTTCCTCCGTAAATCACAGGGACTCACTCTTGTGTTACAGTAATTTGAAACACGTTCAAAAAAATTTATAATAAGAATTCTCCCTCAAAATAGTCATAGCATCGTCTTTGGTGTCTAGAACTGGCCTTGAACCCATCTCAGTTTAGTTTCCACAATTCAAGCAGTGTGAGACGAGAGAGACGACTTTGGGACAGTTTGGCAACCTATTAAACCAAAGTGGGTCTGATTGGAGATCAAATTGAAACATGATTGAAACATTTTGTGACTAAATTGCAACAAAATACAATTTGCACATCATTAGCATGAATGTCATAATTCATTCACCGTGAGCTACAAACATTCAAAAACAAGATTTAAAATAACAAGGTTTAAAATGAAAACTTTCATTTACTGTCCAGTAACCAACAGTTGCAGCCCAGCTTGTGAACGTTACAATATAACCTAAATCTGTGTATCTTAAATGTAACTAAACGTTGTAAATAAAGACTTTTCATTATTCCCCACCCTGGTAATTAGCAGTAGGTTTATTGACAGACGTAAGCTTCATCTTTCAAGGCAGTACTTTGTCCCATCTACAACAATTTTCTCAACATACAGTATATGAGACAATACTTGGTTGCTGATAATACACATCTCTTTACCACTTTAATTCATGAAAATGCATCTTCAGGCATGAATAATGAAGAGCACACTTTAGACATGCTCTAGTTTCATATGCTTGTTTTTAACAATTCTGTTCCTTCCTCTTCAGTGCTTCTATTTTAGTCCACTGTACTCCACGCGGTACTCGACTGTATTATACAGTATACAGGATGTCAATGAAAAACTATTTTTAATTCCCATTTTTCTTCAAATAGGTGTTTTCATTGATGTACAGGACTTCACAGACAAACCAGTTATTCCGAGACTCCATAAACGTCCAAACGTTTTCTTTTATAGCAATTATGATGCAGATTCCTCTCATTAAATCATAGAAAACAACAAAAGTGGCAAATGTATAAATGGTTTGCACTTTTCCTACTGAAGAAGACTTACATCCATCTTGCTGCTGCAGTCTGGATAACGAGGATCTTTGGGAATATCACAAAATCCAAAGGCTCCATCCCGAACTGGAAAAGAAAAGGCAAAAACACAGGTATTTTAAAAAAAGAAGAAGTTAATCAGTATGGATTCATGTCTAACAATGCCCCTGGTGCTGTTGGAAGCCCTGCATCAACATTCATGTCCATCTCAAACTGTATGATTTTTTTCTTGTATTGTTGGTTTGTGGAGTCCAACCACTTATTAAAATTTTCTCCAGGAGATTGTTAAGGAGGATAAACTCTAAACTCTTGTGTCCAAGAGTGAAAATGAGGTTGTATTTCCTGGAGCACACTTTCTCAATTTGAGCGTGATGCATCCTGGCTCTGTCAGATTGCTCCCTAACCAACCGGCTCTCAGGTTGATAAAGGAAGGAGACGCTGGCTACTCACTGCATTACACTTAAATCCCACATTGCAAACTAAAACAGAGAATCACTGCAGCACGTCTCTAATGAGAGACATTTACCCATTTGCTTAGATAAAACTGTTTGTTGTTTTGTTTTATTAGCCAAGAGGGGGTGTATATGCTTCAGCGTTTGGGGTAAATTAAACTCCAGATAACGAGATAATGTAAAAGCTTGCTGTTTTAACCTACGCTCTGGATTCACTGTTCAAAGATGTCGTTAATGAGACTCACAGAAATAATAACCGTCCATCCTCTTTCTTCCCTTTAGACTTTTACTGTATCCTCACAATCCACCCTCTCCCTGCTCCCACCACCCCTCCCCATCCTTCCTTTTCCTCTTTCGTTTTCTTGAAGCCCAGCACTAGTAAGCCTAATTAAGGCTCCTCGGCTGGCATCCTGTCAAGCGTCAAAGAGCAGAATCGCACACAAATAACCGCCCGCCATTCCATCTGATTAGCATGATAATGACAGACTTGAAACGTGCCGCTGCCTCTCACTGTCTCACCGTCGTCCCTTCCATACTTTAATGATAGCATAAAATTATGACAAGGAGGAAAAAGGATCTGACAAATTTTAATGAGACGGTGTGTTAAACTGTGTTCAGTCGAGTGCATGGTGAGGATAAAATTCAATCACATTGTGTGATTTAGTTTTATATTTTCTGCTCTGTAAAATAACTGAGGATAAAGGCTTTTAAGAAAAGCAGACAATAGTAAGACCTAATTCATGCTGTGTTTGTTCATCATTGTGACTTTAATGTATTCAACTAGCATGTTTACCGTAGAAACACGATTAGAATCTGGACATGAATAGTGGCAAAAGGGTTAAATGTTATTATGCCCAAACTATAATCATTCATTTCAACTTCAAAATGCAGTGTTCAGTTTAGTGGATTGATCATTTAAATCAATTTCATTGGAGAAAGACAATTAGTTTTGGTGTTCCACAGGGATGTGTTTTAAGGCTCTGTTGGTTTATATTGTACCTCTGTTGTTGGCCATGCTGCGCTGCAGGATCTGCTCCACCCTCACTGCCATGTCAGACATGTTCTGGGCGATGGCCTGGATCCGCTCCACCAGTCCCATCGGCTGAAACCTGATATGTATGTTTTATTTATTAATTTCATTTCATCCAAACAACAAATATAATACAATTTAAAGAAAAGAATCAGATATCACAGATGAATCCAAACGCACACAAAAAACATAAAATAAATAAAAAAAAACACTCAAATTTTAAAAACTTGCAATTAGACATTGTAAAAACATACATTTCATATTTGTTCTTCCAGAAGTAGTTCATTTCTTCTCATCTTCATAATAAAATAAAACAACAAAATAACTTGGGGCATGTAAATGTCTTTTTAAGCAAAAAAAACCCAAGTAATTCATTTTATTTTATTTTTTTTATTAAACTTATATCATATTTCTTTTGGAACTGGAAACAATTTTGCCGCCAGTAAATTGAGTTTTAAATTTAGAAGTTGATGAACAAAAAAATTAAAAACCATCTAATAAAGCACAGGAAACTCAAAGAAAAAAATGTGCTTTGAAATTTAAATGACACCAGTTTTCTGATACAATCTGCAACTAGTCAAACAGGCACAGTAAAATAGCAAAGGATCAAAATCTTTCAGGTTTGAAACTTGGATGTTGTTTAATATTCAGTCCATTTCAGGGTCTAAGTTCTCAAAAAAGAATTCATGACATTTTTTTAAAGTTAGGCTCACAATTAAGAAATAAATTAGTTTCACATTTAGGCAAATGAACAGCCCTGTAACTTTAAAACGTTTTAACTAACCCAACAAAAGTCCAAAGATCTTTCAAATAAGATATGAACTTTAATAATTTGAGTTTAAAAGAAGGGGTGGAACGGTGGCGCAGTGGGTAGATCTTTTGCCTCTCAGTAATAAGGTTGCTGCATCAAATCCTGGCTAGTGACCTTGCTGGGTGGAGTTTGCATGTTCTCTCCGTGCATGCGTGGGTTTTCTCCCACAGACCAAAAACATACATGTTAGACTGACTGGTAACTCTAAATTGTCTCTAGGTGTGAGTGAGAGAGTGAATGTTTGCCTCATTTGTCTCTATGTGTCCCTGTGATGGACTGGAGACCGGTCCAGGGTGTCCCCTGTCTCTCACACAGTGATGAGTGACCCCGTGACCCAAAAAGGAAATATGTGGGTTAATATAATAGATGGATGAAGGTTAAAATAAATTGCTACAAGTCACTTTTATTGAGACTATTAATTAAAGAAAAGCACATAAACATTCATAAGTAAAACAATATTTCTGGAACGGTGTTCACTAAAACAAAATCCTTTTGTTTTCAAGTAAAAAAAAAAAAAATCGGTTGAGATACTATCGTGCTCTGCAGCGTTGCAACCAGTTCTCCCACCAGAGGGATTGCATTTGTCTCGGCAAATCTTTGTGGGAATTGTCACAGGACATTGTGAAGGTGAAAGAACATTTTTATTTTTATTTATTTATTTATTGTGTTTGAATGGTGACATTTTGCTTGTTGGACTTTTTTTTCTTAAGACAAAAAAGATGTGCTTAAAAACTCAGAGACGAAAAGAAAGAAAAGAAGCATCTCATCCTGTTAGTGCCTAGTGTATGTGTAAGGGATGACCCTCAGCTACTACCAAACCATGTTTAACTTCAATACCTGTACACAGTTAGGTATATATACATTTAGTATTTATTCAATTCAAAAATACTTTATTAATCCCAGAGGGGAATTAAGTGTTGTCGTAGCTCATCATCCTGGTTTTATTCAAGAGTTGTTAGATGCTGATAGTTGTGGGAAGGAAGGATCTCCTGCAGTGAATCTGAAGGATCTGGCCTGGATCTCTCGGTCCTCCGGGCAGCAGGACTGCCCGAATGCTGGACAGAATTCTTCCCTGAGCAATGATCATTCCTCCCAGCAGTCTGCACTCCTCATCGCCAC